GAAGTTGGTAAACTTCAAATTGGGTTTGACATTTGGCTAGAGCATGAGGTCCAGGATGATCGAGATGGTACAGTGCGATAAAGAAACGATAGGAATCATCTCTGATTGATGCGACAAGATATTTTCCGCCAGGGAGGAGCTTCATGTTAAGCACTTGAAGGTTTGCATCAAAAGTCATCCTAGAAACAACAGTAGGGTTATCTTTACGCCAGTTATTTTGCATTGAAATGGCGCGCAAAACAAGATGTTCAAATTCGTAATCTGATCTTTGATCAGAATAATTCAATGTTGGGCGGATGGGGGGAAGGGGAACTTTGAGTTTCTGTAGGAAACGCTTCCATATCAAGGGCTCGTGGGTGAGGTGAAAGTAGTGCTTGTTGACCTGCAGATAATGTATCAGTTTTGTAGGGGATTAAGTACTAGTTGCACTGGAAAATGGACTTGTACCTACTCTTCGTAGAGCCATGATATCCTCAACCTGTAAGTAGGAGATGATACTACCTACGAAAATATCTAGGGGGATACTTGCCGCAACAAGACTCCACTTTGTTGGTGAGCCGCGCGGCTCACCTATATACTTCTGCAGTCAGACTTTGTGGATGGAGCGACCTAGCCAGCCCGCATGTTGGGGTTGCTGTTCCCGGCTCGAGTCCATTTTTGAGGGTCAATGACACTGGGTCTAGTGCTGGTGGTTGTTACTATAAAACTTACACGTACCTCGTTGCTACTTTATAGGCATGAACATCCTTGTATTAAGTATAACAAAGGTCATGAACAATAACAATAACTCATTGAACGTGACAAACAAGAAATCCTGATAACAACTTGAACATTGTTACTTTTTCGGCAATTGATACAGTACTTAGACATACTTTTTTGTCCTGACTGCATAAGGTAAATGGAAGTCCGAAGCTTCGACATAATGGTACAAAGTAATAGTTTGTTGTGAATTTCCTGATGTGATTGGGCATGTGTATGAAGACTTTGCTGTGAGAGGAGCCCGGCCCCGAAATCAGATTCTGAAAACAACCGCACTGAATGAGAGTATCCAACCCAATATCGATATCGCCGATGATACACTGGCGAAAATGACAAAGACTGTTACTTTTTCGGCTATCAATATAGCATACATACTTTTTTTTCGCCTTGGCTGCAAGTACACGAGGTTAATGGAAGGCGGAAGCTTCAACGTGGTGACTACGTACAAACAATAAGTTGAGTACAAGGCAATCGCAAGCATGATTGAGTAATCAGAAATTCCCCAACCCACTTTGAATCCGCCTTTGGGCACAGAAGCCAGCCTCGAGGATAAGTCAAATACGTTCTAGGGAAATCCACACTCACCAGACCACATTCATTTTCAGGACGGGCCAACCTCGCCAAAGCCACGGTGTACATTTGCTTACGGCGATTGATAGGGCCGTGGACTACTCTGTCAAGATCCGCGTCAACCCCCAACAGACCGGTGTTGACCTCAATGTGAAGCATTCAATGGTGAGTCTTGCAATCTCATAGAACACAGAGAAAAATATACGACTATGCACTGTTTAGAATCCTTTTGACGAGATTGGTGCTTTGAAAATTGAGAGATAAGCACCGGTACACACTCCGATTATAGGCCCGATTTACTATCATCTTCTTCCTTTCCCCGAAGTCCCTGAGTAATTATTGGATGAAGTTTGATGCATTGATGAATAGTCCCGGGCCATAGTTTTATCGCGTAGCCCTACACGTATAGATAGATAAAGATACTTATCCAGCAACCATCCATGATGGCAGTAGTACCGGTCCGAGACTTCGGGAGGACTCATGCCAATTGGAGTGTATCCAGACTCACGGTACGGATGTACTGGACCGAATGAATTGAATCTGGAGACAACTAATCTCAATACAATCAATTAATTATAGCGCTTGTCATTTTTTTGATGCAGGATATGATCGTGATCAGATGTCCGCTCTCAAGTGTGGCGCGTGTTCACGTGGGCATAAGTACATAAACGGCATGCATGTATTACTTACAAGCAAGTATGGTATTTGATGGAACAAAAATTGCGTATCCATATCTGGGTGTATGCATATGGGTATGTCGGGATGAATGGCTTTAAGGCAGTACAAGGTGGATCAAAGTCGGAAGCAACTGTGGTGATACAACATGATACAAGAACGGAGGCCGGTATCTTTAGGAGTGATTGGGACTGGGCAGATTAGGAGCGTGTCATGAAAGAGTGAGACGGGGCGAAGACGGAAAAACGGAAGTCAAAGAGGAGCTCGCATAAATATGTACGCAGGTCATATGTCATATGCGCATGATGTTGTACAAGTGAATCCGCCCGTCGGGTATCTATGGTGGTTGATTAGGGTAAGTAGCTGAGAGCGACAATCTTGGCGTAGGAAAGCTCTGTATGGTGATTCTGGGTATCATTGTCGTCTGCGTCTGAGGCGTAGACGTGTTCCCAAGGCTCGTCAACGTCGAGCTCGGGGGTGGTTATATCGTCGAGCACGATAACAGAGCGGATGGGGGGCACGACTTCAAAGTCTTGCTCTGTGTGTGGAGATTAGCAACGCGCATGTGAAAAGAACACGAATATGGTGATTATAAATGACGCAAGTGGACACGACTTACCGCGACCACGACGCGGCTTCCGCGCGATAAGCAAGTCGCTTAGCGTGACCTCGGCCCGACGCGCACTCTCCCGTTCCCGCTCTGCATCTTCAGGCGCCCCCACACGTAACGAAAGCGATCTCGCCTCCCCCCACTCAACTTGGCTCTCCTCCACCCCCAGCTCATCATCCCCCGAGTCGTCCACACGTCCCCATGCCCCGACATTCTTCCAAGTCGACTGCTGCTGCTGCTGTGGCTTGACGTGGACCTGCGCCTTTGCCTTCGCCTTCGCCTCGGCCTTGCGGGCCCTGCGAACGAAGAGAGCAGCGGCCTTCTTGAGCCGCTGCCTATCGCGCTCCAATGTACGGGACTCTTTGAGGCTCGGCGTTGGTGGTGGAGACTTGGATAGCGGCGGCGGCTGTGGCTGCAGTGGACTGGCGTGGATATTCTCCTCGTCGTCAGGAGACTTTGCACGGGAGACGTCGTTGGTGGGGCAATACATGGTGGTTGAGGAAGAGGGATGGAGAAACGAAGGGGGCCTTATATAGAGTCGGCCGTGACTCAGACCCACTTTGGCCTAGTCGCGTCATAAGTGTGCGTTTTTGTACTGGTCACGTCTGTCGCACCGGCTGCTCCCGCCGATTCGCTAGCAGCCCGCCGAGTCCTGTTTATAGTAATCAACTTAGGTGCCCCTAGATCCATCACAAGCTCTGACATATACAAGTACCTGATCTTCTTTCAATTGTGGGGAATGAACAAGTTTGAGTCTACATACTTTGATCACAACGATTTGATGTCCTTCCACTTTGATAGGCGCCGTAACTACTCCCGTGACCTTTTCACAATACAAACTGGCTTTAGGATACACGCCTCTGCAGCTTAGTGACGACAAATGGACATAGAGTTTTTCTGTACGAGACAAAACAAGCTTCTTCCTCATCGAGGCCACCTTCAAAAAAAGCTGACTCAGCCTAAATGACCTGACGATTTTGTTTTCCATTCCCCGGCCCCTTTATCACAACTTTTTTCACTCCTGTCGAATTACAACCTTTTTTCACTCATGTCCCCAATGCCATACTGCGACCGCTGCGACAGACATTTCAACTCTTGGCACGCTCTATATCAGCACAAGGCGAACTCCCCTCGGCACAACCCCACCTCGACGGGGCTCAAAGAACACTGGGTTCAGATCCCCCTCCATTACTACTGCCAGCGCTGCGACGAGCATTTTAACGATATCGATGAACTTAAGGACCATTACGATGACGCGCACTATTGGTGTCGTGACTGCAACAGCTTCTTCGTCAACGAGACAGGGCTTCACGAGCACTACCGCCAGTCTCCTCAGCACCACTACTGTGCCGCATGCAGGTGCCCTTTTCAAAGTGCGAGCAACCTCCGATCGGTACGTCTCCTTCCACAACTGCTTGATGCCCTTTCACTAATCACCTAAATATAAATCTATATATACAGCACTCCGCCGTCCACCGCCCGCGCGACGTCCCCTGCCGCGGTAAAGGCTGTACCCTGACCTTCGTCTCCGTCTCCTCCATGCTCCTCCACCTCGAATCTGGCGCCTGCGTCTCCGGCCTCACGCGTCGTATCATCGACGCCAAAATCCGTGAATGGGACCGCTCCAACATCATCACCGACCCCTCGCGTCTCCTCGCTTCCTCCTCGCCCCACGCCCACTCCCAAACAACCTACTACGCCACCGACGCAGCATGGAACGGATCCGCGTATGAGTGCTATTTGTGCCACGGCAAGTACAAGAATCTCGCGGCGCTGAATCAGCATCTTGCGAGCCCGAGACATCAGGATAAGGTGTATGTGTGCCCGCAGGCGACGTGTAGAGTCAAGTTCACGACACTGAGTGCGTTGTGCCAGCATATTGAGAGTGAGAGGTGTGGGGTGCATCGCTTTAGGGAGGTTAAACTTGCTATGGATGGGATTGTGGGTCAGATGAGCAGGTTGACGATGTAGAGGGAAAATGGGTGTTTGTTTTTTCTCTTGAACATTATGCCTTGTGGGCATTTTGTTAAACGTGCGCCGGCGGTTTTTGGACGCGTAGAGGGGCAGGTATACCTCAGACGGACGCGCGAAACTTTTTCTTGGACGGAAGGATAACAGAACGGAAGGATAACAGAATTTGGAATTCGAAAAAAAAATACTTTGAAAGTGTAAGGCATACATACTTTATTTTCGTGTACATAATTTGCAGTAATACGGCTCGAGTAACTATGTAGCTATAGGTCAAGAGGTCAAGCGGCTAGTCATAGATCATAATTTTCGTTATGTAGTCATTTCTAGCATTCCTTTCTGGCGTTTTTTTTATCTCGTCTTTTCGATCGGATGTTTAGTCTCTACATACATTGCCAAACAACGCCTTCACATGTTATCCCTCTTAGCTCAGTGGTAGAGCGCGTCACTAGTATGGGGACCGTACATGCGAAATGACGAGGTCAGTCGTTCAAGTCGGCTAGAGGGAATAATCCATATTGTTTGTTGTTTTGTCTTGAGATCAAGACAGCTGCTTCTCATCTCGACCATTGATGGTTTAGGGGTTTAGGGGTTTATTCGACATGGCTGTTCGGACTTGAATTTAAAACCTCAAGGTAGGAGTGAAGAGTGTCGTCATCTGTGTTGTGGCATGGTTGTCCAGAAATATGTGTGTATGTCCAATTAGTGGAGTTTTTGCAAAAATAATATTTACACTTGGTTGAATCTACAACTTTGTAACAGTAGAGGTATTACTATATAAGTGTCTTACAAGCTTGGTAGATGTCAATAGTTGAGAGAAGCACATATGAACTATCTAGATAAATGGAAGTGGAAGCATTATCCAATTGTTGTTGTCATCATTGCTTTTGGAGATATATTGACAAGTGAGGAAAAGCTTCTTGATTGCCTTCATATAGTCTTGAATTTCTTAGGATAATGCCTATCTGTCTTGGGCTTGACTCTTGGCCTAGCCCTACAAACAACAGTAAATTCATTCTCCTCCTCATTCTTGGAAATGTGTTTGAATTCCCCAGGATGGTCCACCTTCCATTCAAGAAACCTCTCACCAACTGGTGCTGCATACAAAAACTTGTGGCTTGCCTGATCCCCTGATGTCAAACCCATCTCACTTGTGGATGCACTTGAAGAAGAAGCTGAATGAATATCCAACACTACCAAAGGGAGTGCATGGGCTGTGGAAAAGAGTGGCAGAGGAATGGAATAACATCCCTCCAGAAACATGCCCAATCTGATAAAAAGCATGCTCAGGAGGATTCAGGCCAAAGGAAGACATACCAAGTATTTGTTAGAATTCTGATAAGGGTCAAAAAACTGTCCCAATAACTGAATATTTTGTTTGATTTATTACACAACCAATTTTCATCAGAATCACATGACTCAGGACTTATTTTTAAGCCAAGATATACAGTTGCAGACAAGGAAACTCAACAAATATTTTGACCTAATTTTATACAGACTATCTCATGTATTAGATACATTTTGAGTGCATACAAATCACAAGAAGACATCAATGACCTGGAATTCATAAGCTGTTTTGTCTAAAACAGGGTGGGGGGGGGGGGGTAAGAGTACCTCTAAAATATTAGCTATATCTGATAAAAATCTTGAAAATCACAGAAAAATGTGGAATCAATTCCTTTTGCTGTGCTGATTATGATTCAAAATCTGAGAGAGGAATTAATGAGCAGTTGGGCAAGCAAATAATTGGAGATTTAGCATTGGACCTACATTGATCTTGCAGTGATCTTCAGATTCAGATCCTTTTAGATCTCAGTTCCAATGCCCAAGCCTCGTTGTGGTCAAAAGCCAAAGGTGAAGTGCAATATCCATGGCCTGCATAGCCAACAGACTCAAAAGTCTCCAGAGGCTAATCTCAATCATGCTCAATCACCACTGGATCTTGAGGTCAATAAGAGTGATTGCCTCTATAAAAGTCTGGATTTCTGTGACTAGTCAGTAGTAATAGTATGGAATTGGCATGGAAAAATACATAGCATCTAACACCAAATGGCCTACTATCAAACATTTTGGACTTAAAGCTAAGATTAGACATAACATTGCCTGGTAGATAAGTTTCCTCTCTTTAACTCTTGTTAAATCCTCTTATTGAGCTACACATCAGAAAACCAATTTAGGATGACCGCGTTTAGATCACATGACTAAGTAAACTTCCAATCAATACCAGCATCAGTTAACATCCACTCCGTAATGAGCCAAAATTTTGGCCGTACCCAATTTCTTGTGGGAAAACCCTCAGATATGTGTTTTTAGATGTATTTTAACATTCTGAGTCTGATCCTGTACTTAGTTTGCCTCAAAAAATTGAGATATCCCACTTGTTGAGTTTGCTTGTCCACAACTGTAGGAGCTTTACATATATTAATTTGGGGATCGACCTGGCCATATTCTTTACAACATTGGGTTTAATCTACTGTATTTGAAAATAACGAAGAAACTATGAAGCTTTTCAAGAGTTTCTTAAAATTTCTATTTACTATTTAAGATCAGACTGTTGAGCAAAGTCTCAATGTTTAACAAGATACCTCTGTGCATCAAAGGAGAAGAATATTTGACCATTCATATAAGATCTTTGTCAATTGATGTACAAATATAAAGTCTCCATCAAAGAATTTTGAAATAACCTTCTCCATTTGGTTATTTGACAAAGATTTTAAATGGCTGGTCAAATACTTCTTCCCTCTTATTCACACACTTGTCAAAGATTTCATTATTCTTTGTATAACCTGATCTTCAATATCAAACAAAAGCTCCTTGCAAAATATTATAATTTTTATTTAATTTTTGTCTGAGGGTATAATGTAGATCGCTGAAACATTGTAAATCAATCTATGATACTTCTTTATGGTTTCATCAGAAACACACCAGGAGAATCTTGGGTTTAATGCACCCAGTGTACTACTACTGCGGTTGGCACATAGCAGGTCACATATCCGTCACTCTACACCTCGGCAGATGACGTATCCGTCACTCCACATGACCATAAGTGACCAAATACCGTTTCAGGATGACGTCTCGCATTTTGCGATCAAAAATACTTGATGGAGTAATGACCTCACAAGTCGATGTCAAGAAGGAAGTCGACAGATTCTGGGTCTTTTCACTCATTTCACTCAATTCAGGTACAAAAATGTTTTATTATAGAATATAGAGTAGCTGACAAAAGAACATAGGTATTTATAAGATATCAGAAAGTGCCGACTGACGGGGTGACTCTATAGTAGGGGATAGTATTAATACAAAACCTGAAAGTATTCGTTCAGAAAAGTTCTTGGCCATCAGAATCGGCGTTCACATCCACATCCATGTCTTCATTGACACCTGTACACTGCACGTTCCTGTTTGACCTAGCCTTACGAGCAGCAACGAATTCATTCTCCCCATCGTCCTCCATGTGTTCGAAGCCCTCAGGATTCGCCATCTTCCAATCAAGGAATCTCTCAACAGGCAGCGCTGCATGAGAAAAATCAAGGATCTCGATAAGACGTCCACCCCCAATCGTCAAACACACTCTTCCAATACTCTGGTCCCACGCGATCGCACCAAGACCGTGGACCCGATACCGAGCTGCAGCCTCCAACCCAATATCGAGCTGAGTGTAAACGTTATTCGGCATCCTCTTGTAGTTATGCCTTTCGACAGTGGAGTCGCGCTGCACGCGCGCTAGAGGGTACCAGTCGGACTGAAATTCAGGGCTAATGTATCGACGTAGAGATGTCAAGGAAGGTGTGGCGGTACGGTCGGTCCTTTCAGTCGTGTAGACGAGGGAACGGAACACTCCAGGAAGAACGTGCCCAATGTATGGGTCGGCATCATGTCTGGTTTGTTTCGTGACCGTGATACCATGGATGTCATAGATGTACTTCAATTTGGGTGTCCGCACTTCTTCTGGCCATATGTGCCAATGAGCGACACATTGAGGTGATGTCATTTCGGCAAAGACAGAGATCGGGGGCAAGGATTGAGAAGAGGCTTGAAGAGTAAAATCACTCTGACCGTCCGAAGGCCAAATATCGTCCGTCATGTGAACAACTTGAACATTACCTACTGGTAAAACTAGACAACCGGCCCTGGGAGTAGCGAAGGTGACTTCTCCTTGGATGGTATCCTTCGGCATATCTAATATTTCAATACCATGGGCATGCCTTTCAGCTAAACGATGAGGTTCGGGATGATCGGGATCTAACTGTTGACCAGTCACTATTGTGCGCCAGATAAGCACTTGATTCTGTTCGGGGATATGACGAACAGCTTTGACCCATTGTTTCTGTAAATACTTTAGTCAATGCAGGCGGCGTACCTAAACCTGACATACCATACTAGGATGGAGATTCACAGCCCTGTTTGCACCATGTGGATAGACATGAGGTTGACAAACTAGAATGCATGGTTGACGAGGATGTTCCAGGTTGACGATGACAATATAATCTTGACCGTTTGGAAGAGCTTCCTGGACAATACTTGCGTGAGCAACACCTGATTGACTGTATAATGACAGCTGCGCAGTGGGCGTCTTCAACTGCAATTGCACCGTCTGTATGAAAGGTTTATATCGACCGTCCGATGACCAAAACTTGTGCTTTGTCGTTTCTGAGCCAGTAGGATCCCGATGAACACTTGCCAATAACTCAAGCGTGCTCAGATCCACATGGACACATCTTAAAAGATGTGAGATTGAAGCAGGTGGATCAATAGTGGCGTTGTTAGCAAATTTTGCCGGATCAATACTACAATGAAGGTTTAACTTAAACATGGGAAGACTCTGATTGAGCCGATAAATACCTACTTTGCTGGCCCGCCCTCGTTGAGTACTCGACAGAGATGAGCGATCATAATTACAGGCTTGTCTTTATAAGTCATATACTTGGCTTGAAGTTGATAAGCTTTCGTCGGGATTTGGCATCTAGCCAGAATATGAGGTCCACTTGGATGATCGAGGTGGTACAGTGCGATGAAGAACCGATAATTATCCCTGATTGACGCAACGAGATATTTACCGCCAGGAAGAAGCTTCATGTCAAGCACTTCAAGGTTTGCATCGAGGAACTTCGTAGAGACGACAGTAGGCTGTCTCTTACGCCAGTTGTCTTCTATTGAGACAGCTCGCGAAACAAGCTGTTCGAATTCGTAATCCGAGCTTTGAACAGAATAACTCAATGTTGGGCGGATTGGGGGAAGAGGGATTCTAAGTTCCTGTAGAAAACGCTTCCATATCAAAGGTTCATGGGTGAGATGAAAATAGTATTTGTTGACCTGTACAAGTCGTGTCAACCTTGTAGAGAACGATGACAAGTAAGACCTACTCTTCGTAGAGCCAAGATATCCTCGAGTTGTAGGTGGGGACTGATATTATCTAAGAAAATGTCCAGGGGAAAATTTGCTGCAGCGGAGGTCGGGTTGGGTTGGGCGAAGAAACGAAGGACCTTTGCATAGATTCCCGAGTCCATTT